ACAGATAAATACTAATTTAAAAAAGTTAATGGCTTAACCTTCACCATTTATAATTTTCGAAAAGAGCAAGAATGATTCCACCCAAAAAAAAGAGAGGCAAGAGTGATGACTTCGTGCCAAACTACAATCGGATAAGTAATTAACTAACTCTTCTTCCAATCGGTTTTGTATTAGTTTTTCGCTGCCTGCATGGGAAAATATCATTTTCCTTCTTTATAAAGCATTGTAAGAGTCTTCAATTGCCATGCCGGTTCCTTCAGTCACCAGTCACCAGCTAAGGCATGATGCACTGAGGTACAGGTGGGACTGGGAATCAACACTTGGATAAAGCGCAGCTGACGAATAATGATAATGAATGCTCGAGGTGTAGAGAAATCATGAAGATAAGCAACATAAATTGCAGCAATATTAACAATGAGGATGGCTGTAGTTATACAGAAATTAGGCTTCTTGGTTACTAGAGCCAAACAAAACTAGCCTTCATAAACTGAAGTCACAAGCGAAACCATGGTTACATGCCATGGACCGCCAGCAAGCAGTGGAAGAGAGTTGACATCTGTAGTTTATTAATATCAAAAACAACTCAAGCATGAAGGGTTTATCCACAAACAATCATGGAGCCACAATTGAAAACGATTTTATTATACAAGGGCATGCAGCCCGCTGAACACAATTGTGAGCCATTTATATTTCACACTTCACAACTAAATATTGGAATGATACAGAATTAACCCAAAAAGTTTTAAGTCAACTAGCTATAGATCTTATGGGATTGCTAAGTAAAGCACATGCACTTATCTTTCATCACTTCAGCCTCACGTCCATACTCCTTGAATTTGTACTCGTCCTGCTTAAAGTTAGAAGGCACCTTTCCCTCACTGTAGCAATGACTACATAGATTAAAATGAGACTTAATCTCCTTAAAACGGGAACCAATAATTGGGTAGTGACAAACTGAGCAAACACGGTGTCCATGGCGATTCCTATCTCCAGATTCAAGCTTCATCAGAGTTGACATGACACCAAAACCCCGATCTGGATCATCAAACATGACTACAAACTCACTGAAAGATACCATTGAGGAATCTGTTTCTCCATGAACTTCAAGCATTTCGGCTACCCCATCTGATGGAACATAAATAGCCCTCAACAATTTGATGTATTTCATAACATCCACCTTTCTTATCTGAGAACTGCCTTCATTCACTGGTCGCCATAAAAGTGCATCAAAGGCAACCCTTTTTCGCTTATCTGGAGGCCCACCGCAAATGGGAGCAATAACAGCATAAAACATGCCCAAATCAACCCTTCCCGAGCCTGTTTCATCCAAGACAGAAAGGATTTTTTCATTTATGGCTTTCACAGCTCCTTGAAAAGTTTCAGGCTTCAGAAAATTGAGTAACCTGCGTAGAATTTCTTCCAAATTAGGCTTGCGAATGGATTTCTGAGGACCACCACCACCAGAGTAGGATATAGGAACATCATTTTCAGTCATTTCCCTCTTCAGAAGATCAACCTCACAACGACTCAATCTTGTCACTCTCTGAAAAGCCCTAATCTGAAGAGCATTGCTTAAATCCTGCCTCAATGTAGTCTTCTCACTAACTGTCTTGAACTTTGATGGTTCCACAACCACAAAAGCCCCTTCCCCATTGGAATCTCCATTACCCTTCACCTTCTTCTTCTGTAGCTGCTTCAGGTGGTATATAGCATCATGTAATTCAACCCTGTTGGTCATTTTAAAAGCTTCCTTGAGAGCTTTCTTAGCTTCCTCAGTTTCTCTAGCCCCTAACAAGGACACAGCCTTGTTGAGCTGTGCCCGCCAATGATT